TTTCCACAATTTTGGCCAAATTAAATGTATCTTATATCATTGTCAAATAATTAACCTATTAAATATTCCCTGCGTTCCTAAGTTTTGAGTAAGAAATAAATATTATCAAAATCTACAATCTTAAATATGTGATATGTGGTTATATTTGCCCTTTTATATTCTTTCTTAAAAAGATTACAATTTTAAGCCCATTTTAACATTTGTTTGATTCTAAAACATTTTCATCAAAAGTAAAGTAAAAATTTATGGGAGAAAAAATATATCAAAAAACAAAGAAAAAGACATTAACAACAATTAATTTTATCACAGAGTAATCATCAAGTCGTCATGTTCGCATCAATTTATTATGCACCTCAAGAATCTCCTATCAAAATATCTTAAATCTTAATATAATATAAAGGAGAATAATAGACAAGGTGATATGATACCTTTTTATAATTTTCGTATGTATTTTTTTTAAAAAAAATTTTGGCTATTTTTTTAATTTAAATTAATTATTTTATTATAAAAGTCATTATTTAATTTATTACAATAGGTATTGTATCAATGAAAAAGCATTTACAATAAAGACTCTTCATATGCCAACTTACAAAGAGTAATTATTCGTAATTACCTCTCTATTTTCTATTATTAATACAAAAAATATTTTTAAAATTTTTTTATCCTTCTTCTAATTATAATTACGAAAGAAAACTATTTTTTAAACATTTCAAGTGTTTTATTTTTATCATTTAATTTATATAAAATGTCTATTATTATTTAACTTTTTTCTCCCTTTTTTGAGTTTTTTCATTCATGTTTTTCATTAATCAATTTATTAAAAAATTAATAAATACAATCTTATTCATTACATATAATTATATTACATGAATGTTGCAAAAAAAATCTCTATCTATTTGAATTCTCTAATTAAATAAGATGTCTTTTCAACTTTCATCTACTTAATTCTCATCTATAAATAACAATCATCTATAGTGTTGTTGTCTATTTCTATTTTCTCCAACTTCATATTGTTAATATTTTTTTTCCAGCTTTTATGAAGATTATAGATATATTTTTTAGAATTTCTTCTTGTGTTACAATAGTCAAGCAAAAGTTTATCAAGATTAAGAAGAAAACTCAAAGGTGGTGTAAGAATCGTCAAAAGAGACGATAAAAAATTAATTTGCTACAAGTCATCAAAATGAAGAAGAAAGTTTAACGGTGCTGGGAGATTCATCAAGAGTTTGTCAGAGTCAAATTTGAATTCAATCATTTACAAATATACAGATGCAGTTATTGTTGCTAATATAATTTTTCAATTAATTATTTATCCATCAAGATATGTACCCTTCAACAACAAGATAATATTATAAAGCACACTTTTTGTATCAAGGGCAACATGATCTTCGACGGATTATTTTGTTACTTAAAGAAAATTTTTGATACTTTCATTATATAAACTTTTGTCTCTTGGATATACAATCCTTATTCTATATCGACATATATTATGTATAACATGTTAATATGACATAATTTCTCGATCAAGAATATTTTGATATCTTTTTTTTTGCTTTATCTGCTTCTTTTCATTCTAATTTAGATGATATAACACATTTCTTTTTTTTTTTTGAATTTTGAATTGACTAAAAAAGAGATGAGATCCCCTCCATTAAGTTTTTGTTTTGTATTTGTTAACACTTGATAGAATTAGTCTATATATATGATTGTGGGACTCAAATTTCACAAAACATTTAATTCTTCTAATTTGATGAAATTTCTCAGGATGAACCAAGTTTGTTATGCCAATATCCAATTACAATAAACATATTTTCTTAAGTTATAGAGAAAATTGATATTTTTTTAAGTTGATTATGAAACTGAAAAAATGAGTTTACTCTCTTCATTAATCAATTTGTTTGATAACTAAAAAAATTATAATATTTATTACATCTAATTACATCTTATAAATTACAAAAATCTTTGTTTATTCACTTTTTCTACTTAAATGACATATCTCCTCAACTCCTTTCTACGATTCTATTCATGACCTGTAATTTAGTTTTTCCAAAATATAATGAATTTAGATTTTAGTCTATCATTTTCACATCAACTATTCACAATTTGCATGTAGAACATTTTCATGGAAGCATATGTTTTTTTTTAATTTGTGGTAGTAAACTTTTGGTAACTAGATATACTCTAATTTTGTTTAAAATTAATAAGAAAATATTACTATGTTACTTTTTTTCTTTTTATTAGCAGATTGATCCATCTCACGACTTGCAATTCTTTTTATCTATTTATATTTTTTGCTAAATAAACATGTTTCTTCAATTCCTTTTTAGTTAATTCTTTATCTCTCTTTTTAAGACTTTTCATTTTTCTTTCATTTACATCATATATTAAATTTACTCAAAATTAAGTCATTTATTTATTTCATAAATGAGCGCTCTAAATAATTTTAATTTAAAAATAAATGATTTATTTTCCTGATGACTTTATGTACATATTCTGTATTTAATAATTCATTTTTTTTATAATTATTTAACATTGTAAATGAGGCCAAAAATGGAAGAATCTTTTAACATCTCTCTTAAACTTGGAACAATTCACTTATTTTGAACTATGAAAAAGGGCTCAACAATTTCACTTATTTTGAAATAGAGGGAGTATGTATTATTTATTAAACTCGGGATTTTTAAAGTTTTGTACTAAAATAATGAAATATATATATTTTATTTTCTATCTTTTTAGTAATTAAATAAAATAACCACAACAAAACAAAAATGAATTGAAGTACTATTTTAGTGAAATATATTGAGTAAATAAAGATTATTTTGTTTTATTTGTGTGAAGATTGAAAAAAATTATGAGTAATTTCGATATGATATAAAAATAAACAATAGCAAAAACTCTTATATACTAAAAGTCCTACTTATTCTTTTTCTCTCATTCTTTGCTTTTTTTTTTGTCATTATTTAAATTGTGATTTTCTCTAAATAATTATACATTTAGTGAGTTTTGTAACTCCTTAAGAGTTAAAATATTCACTGTTTATTATTTGTATTATTATTCTTTGATAATTAAAATAAATAAATATGACTCTAATTTTGTATCGAGTTGTTTGTTGAGATACTAATATTGATTATTTTTATATTTTATTATTACGATTTTTTATATTTATATATCATTTAATTAGAATAGTTAGTCGTTCTCTCCTTCATATTACTATTGACATGCTTTTTGTTAATTTTCATATTTTAACTTGCACAATTTTTTTAAATAATAAAGATTTTTTTATAAAAGATTATGTACCTAACAAGTATGTTTTGTTTGTTAAATAAATCATATTGAATAACTATATTTAAAAAAATCTAAGTTCAGTAGTTTCTTATATAAAAATAAGCATTCATACTTTTAAAAACTGAGGAGGAAAAATTATTTACGTTTCATTTGATGATCTACGATAAACAAAAAACTAAGCAGAAAATTAAGTTAGCATTTTTTTTCAATATATAAACATGTTCTTTTAACCCCAACAAAATAATACAAAAATAATATCTTATAAATTGAAACACTTATTATAAACATTTTATAGCCTTTACTAAGTATTTGATCATTTTTTTTAGTACGTGCTAATTTTTATAAAAAATTTATTTTTAACACAATTATTAGGATCGCACGAAGCGCGAACATATTAACTAGTTAATGTATAATCTTAGTACTTAATATTTATTTTTGAATAGTCTCAAATTTAAATTAGAGATGTGCTAGTTTATTTTAAACGAATTAAGAAACAAAATCACATAAAATGAACAACGTGAATGCTATCTATTTTGAATGGTTAGAGTTTTAATAATTCATTCACTTTTATTTATCTATCGTGAACTTTGTATGTCTATTAACAAATAATAATTGATATAAATATTATATCATAATAATCGTAATAAATATTAGATTTTAAATATAAATAATTAATATTAAAATTAAAATATTAGGAGTAAAATTTATTTTTAAAATAGTAAATAAGTATTCTCTCCATCCCTATTCCGTTATCACCATTTCAGATTTCATTGCTCGATAAGTATATCATTATACCCTTATTAAGTATTTTCTTAAAACTCTAGTTTTTCAATCAAAGAAAATGAAATAATTTATTTTACTTATTAGTTTGATTAATGAATGGATTATTACTTATTTTTTCTATTACGATAAAAAATATACTTTAAAGACTAATAACTCATAAGGTAAAACAAGAAGAATAATATCACTTATACATAGGTTTTTAACTATGTTAATAAATTTTTAAATAGTTTACAATTTTCAATGTTTGGATACATTACTTTACATTTGGGCTTGTAAAGTTTTGTAAATAGTCCATAAGAATGATTCAATTGGTTTGGAGGATGATTATTCATACGGATGACACGAAATTGATTGATATAATTTGATTTGATTCTTATAAATTTAAGGAAAAATACGTAAGTACTCCTTTAATCTATGTTCAAAATCATAGAGACACGCCTATATTACGCATATGTTGGCTTGTGCATTATCTCTAAATTTAATAAACGAATATAATTACTTTAAATTTATTATAATGAAAATCAAATCAAATCTTTATGATGGTAACTTTTTTCTTTCCTTTTTTTAATGTGGAAATCAGAGCCTATTGATGACGATAAAATCTACGTATTCAAATAGGTAACCCCAAATTCAATGCACCATAACTTTCTCCCAAAATTAGCACAACCTTTCGTGCGTTCAACTTAAGTGTTTTACGTTTTTTTTTTTTTTAAGTTTGTAACCTTAAGTAAATATTTTGATTTGTATCTTTATGCGATAAATATGTTTTTAATTAAGAAATAAAAAAAACCCTCAAATTTTATTTATACCCTATATTAATTTTGAAATGAAAGAAGAATCCAAATCGAAATATGACACTTGAATGGATGGGTACCGAAGGAAGTTAGTAGTGCTTTCTTTTTATACGACTTATTCATGATTATTAAAAACTCATATGTGGTGTCATCACTGAGTTGGAGTCCCTTTTAATCAATTTTTTTTTTCTCTCTCTTTTGGCTGGGTCTTTTATTTTTTTTTTCTCTATATATATTGCACCTTCATTTTTTTCTATGCATGTTTTATTTTTACAATATTTGATTTGTAATTAAACAACAAATTGATTCGAAGGATTTTATCAAATGGCCAAGATTTCTCGTCTTTTTGGATCCACCGTGAAAGCAGCTATCACCGCCCAGGTTTGTTTATTTTTCCTAAAATCACTTTTTTTTTGTTGAATCTTAATTTTTTCCTTCTACTTTTTTCTTCTTCTTCTATGGGTTCTTTTTGTTTTGTGTTGAAGGTGGCGCTACTTTTTTTTTTTTTTTTGCCTTTTCGTTTTTTAGGGGTTGTTTGGTTGGTGTCAGTTTTTTCAGATATTAAATTATGCGTAGTTGCTGAACAGATAAATTATATATAAAAAAGATTAATAATTAAAATTATATATAACTAGTTTGTATATTATCAATATTCGCATAATTCTATCGAAAGTCCATTTATTGAATACTATACTTAGGTTGAATCTCTTTTTGAAAGAGGAGCAAAGAGGGGTTGGGTTGTGATTTGAGATTTTTGGGATTTTATTCTCTTATTGAGTTCTAAATTAATAATCTACTGGAAATGCACAAATATTATTAATTCATATCCGAAATTTCAAAGCACGCTTATACTATACTTATACTTTACTTGAGACACTTATACTATTCCTGAACTTATTTTGTAAATAATTTTGTATCATTTCCAGTCTACGTGACACTATGTTGAGTTTAATGTGTGTTAATATTTTTTTAAGCTAGTACCATATAGTCGAAAAAAACTAAAAAATTATTTATAAATTTTTTAAAATAAGTTCAAAGCTAATAGGCCTATTGAGGCTACTAATGCATTTCCCTTATATATATTCAATTGAGTTTTAAGATAAATATAGAGATTGAATTAAAGTATTCGTTCGACTAGTATAGTTTTCTCTCTCTGGTCCTTGTTGCAGTCTAGTTGATAGGTTATGGTAAAATTGTAGCGTGGCCCTTTTCATACTTTACTTTCATAAAAAGTTACTAATATCTTTTTGGAATTTTATTGTTTTTGATTTATTTTTAGCTATTTAAGGGATTATAAAATTATTAATTTAAATCACTTAAAATAAGTCAGTCTAAACCGTTCTAGAAAATTGATTAGGGAATACATATAATTTTGCAGTTTTTATGTTTTTTTAGGAACTGTCTTCAAGTCGAAATGTTCTTTTATTTTTTTCTACTTGGGCTTTGGGTCTTTTATCTTGTTCATATTTAGGAAATCTTAAGTTGTGGGGCTACAACACTATTTTGTTATTGTTCATGTTCTTTCATTTAGTTATGTTTTTCCGTCACTATTTTCTTCTTGAGCCAGGCTCTGCGTATACTCTAACCTTTCCATATTATTTTACTAGATATATTATTGTTTGTTGGACTTGTTTTAGATATTTTCCAGCCTTGTTATGATCACCTTTCTACAGAGGAATAGTGAAACTAACTGATTTTGACACATAACTATCTTGATCAATCTACACAGCATTATAAGGGATTTCCTCACAAACCCAAAGATCATTAACTCTTTCATGGTGTTTGATTTACTGTCTTTTGAGCAATCAGTATTGTGGTAATAAAACATTAAACAGCTGACCAAGGATTATCTCATTCAATCATTTTTATAAGAATTTGTGGTCTGCACACTGGAGAGACTCTTATTTCATAACGTAATATCGGGTAATTGGGGAAGTGAAGTTTCTTAAGTCACTTTTCTAGTGATTTTAAGTTCATTTTGTGCTATCATAGTTACTTGCTTTTCGTTATGGTAAGATTTTATCGACGTATATGGAAATTCTTGGTGGTAAACTGGACCTAAATATATTTAGGACCATGCACCAGCCCTTTGAGGGTGTTAGAATTGAATTTTGACTTTTAAGCTCTTTTTTATTTTTTGAGGTGTTTGGGAAATACAAAAAGTGTTTTTGAACATTTATTATTAGGCCAAAAAGTGTACAAATAAGCTAAAAATAAAAAGTTGGGTATGCCCAACTTATGATTTTTAACTTTTAGCTTATAAGCTACTTAGAGAAAGCCAATCCAGACGACCTGTTCTTAGATGTAAGATTTTGAAGACAAAGCAAATTTATTTCCATGATACAGCACTGTTTTTGTTTCGTGATTTGCCTTTAAGTCGTTTATGTTCTAATTAATCTGTCTTTGTAGGCTGGTTTCCATGGAAAACGTATTCCAGCAGTTAGCAGTTTACAGGAGCATATTGTTAAATCAACACCGGCAAGATATAACAGTACACAGGCATGTTTGGAAAATGATATTTCTGGAACTGATAATAAAGGGTAAATTCTGTTCACTTTCCAACCGCTGGATCTCTTTTTTTGCGTTCCTTATTTATGGACAGTCATTGCTAAATGACATGGCCTTTCTTCATGAGTACTACTCTATATTTAGTCATCTGTGGAATATATTTCACTCATTTGACATAAAAGCTGCACTTGCAAGCATAAAAGGAATTTAACTAAACAATGTATCTCCGCTTTTGCAGGTTCAAGGGTCATGATATGTTGGCACCCTTCACTGCTGGGTGGCAAAGTACTGATGTTGATCCTTTGATTATAGAGAAGTCTGAGGTTAGATTTATGTCTAGTTTTGCTGTCTAACTTGAGAGAACTTTATATATCTTTCGTGATTAACTTTTACATTTTGACATAGGGATCCCATGTCTATGACATGCAAGGGAGGAAGTATATTGATACTCTAGCTGGTTTGTGGTGCACAGCACTAGGTACTTTCGATCCCTTTTATTCAGTCTTTGGCGTACTAATTCTAGCTCCAAGTATATTAACATGCATATGTCTTTCATGTATGTTTTTTTAGTCTGGTTAACATCAACAGTCACACATTGACACACTTAAGTGTTCTGCCATGTCAGATGTTTTTCTTTCACAATTTAACTGCATAATTCTTTTCGGTAATGACAATAAGTATTTGCGTCATGATTATAACATCCAAACAATTTACTTTAAAAATGAAAGTTCAGTCCATTGATGAAAACGTTGTGTATTTTCATTTTATTAATAATCAATGTCTGCTATGTTATCCTGATGTGTTGCATTTGAAATGTGTTGAAGACTAACAACTTGAACCATATATTGCAGTATTTCCATCGATGAGAACTTGTAGAATTGTTTTGATCTACTGCTGAATGTCTCCATGTTGAACTGTGACAGTCTAGTGCATGGTCAATAAACTGGAGACAGGCCTTAGAGCGGCCTTTAAAGTTTTATTTATGTGATTGCTCAAATATACAGAACAGAACACTTTTAAACCTAGACAATAGCTAATTTCTGACAGCTGTGGAACTTTGCAATGAGTTTTATTTATGATGTAATTGGAGCACATGTACAATGCTTTACCAACTTAAATATTCTTGTAGGGGGGAACGAGCCTCGCCTGGTTGATGCTGCCACTAAGCAATTAAACACATTGCCGTTTTACCATTCATTTTGGAACCGTACAACAAAACCTTCTTTGGTATGACAAAAACTTTGCAGTGTCTTTACATGAAAAGGAAAATTAAGTGATGCCTAAATTTGGGTTTTTAAGTTTTTCTTGGAACTCATGTTGATTGCATTTTGAAAATACAGGATCTTGCGAAGGAGCTTCTAGATATGTTCACTGCAAAGAAAATGGCAAAAGCTTTTTTCACCAATAGTGGATCAGAAGCCAATGATACCCAGGTTTTGCTTATTGCCTTCAAACACTTGATTATATAATTAGATCTCAGTTCTTTTCTTTAAACACTTGATAATTCATCAGAAGAACATCGTTTTTGGGATAGTGAAAGAGTGGGACATTATAATTGTTTTGAAAATTGTAAATTTATTCTGTTAGGATATGAAATGAATACAGTAGATACTTGAATTTTTTTAAATTTTTTTTGTATAGAAGTTTGATAAAAATAGCAGGAGATTATGTGAAGAAGTTTATGAGTATAATTTGTAACTTTTTCCCTTATACTTCAAATGTAGGTGAAGCTGGTCTGGTATTATAACAATGCTCTTGGAAGGCCAAACAAAAAGAAATTTATAGCTCGAGCAAAAGCGTAATTTGTGAATCTCTATCTATTTTTTTTCTTTTGGTTTCCTTTTTCCTTAGTCTTACTAATGTTTTTGTTCATTCATTGTAACAGATATCATGGTTCAACTCTTATTTCTGCCAGTCTCACTGGGTAATATAATAAAACATCATTTGAAATCAAAATCACTGAGATTCATTATTATGCTTCAAGTATCAGTTTTCTAATACTTTCTTTTGTAGCCTTCCTGCATTACATCAAAATTTTGATCTTCCTGCTCCATTTGTTCTTCACACCGACTGTCCTCATTATTGGCGTTATCATCTGCCAGGTTGTTACTTATTCTTAATGACTCTTACTTTTCTCCTCTTCCTATGGTGTAATAAACCATTTTATGTTGAAATGTATATATCAGGTGAGACAGAGGAGGAGTTCTCCACCAGGTTGGCTAAAAATTTAGAAGATCTTATCCTCAAAGAGGGGCCTGAAACAGTAACTTCCATCAACTTTTACTCTTGCTACTCAGTTTGTATATTGAGGGTGATTTATTGCTGATTAATTTGCTTTTTCACCTCAGATAGCTGCTTTTATTGCTGAACCAGTCATGGGGGCAGGAGGTGTCATACCTCCTCCAGCTACCTATTTTGATAAGGTAGTTTTCTTTGCGTTTTTGTCTGTTCTTTTTATTCCAGAAGGAGGAAGCTATATCACTTTTGCATTACTACTTAGAATGCTGCATGCAATGCTCAATCTAGGATGTAAGAGTTCGTTCTGTAGTTTTGGTGCCAAAGAATGAAGGCAATCAGCTAAGTATTTATTTAAGAAACTCCGAAGTTTGTGCTTACTGTCATTGTCAAAGAAGGGTGTAACTGGTAACCTCTTTCTGTCTGTAAAACCCAAGCATATTTGCATTTGGTTTTACCATGAGATAGAATGAAGATCATCAGCCATTGAGAAATTTGTGGGTAGAATGAGGATCATCAGCCACAAGATATGTGCAATAACAAGTCCTTTTCTTTTATTTCTGGCAGTTTTTGCAGTTATCTATCTTTAGTTCCTTCAGATTATTCTTATATACATAACTAAAACAACGATTTCTCCTTTTCATTTATAGATCCAAGCTGTAGTGAAGAAATATGACATTCTTTTCATTGCGGATGAGGTCATCTGTGCCTTTGGGAGGCTTGGAACAATGTTTGGCTCTGACATGTATAACATCAAACCTGATCTTGTCACCTTAGCAAAGGTATGTTAAACAACATCCTATCTCAGCTAAATACCAACTCATGTCTGGATGTAATAAATATCCCTTCCTGAATTTTTTTCAGGCTCTTTCTTCTGCATATATGCCTATTGGAGCTGTCCTTGTAAGCCCCGAAGTTTCTGATGTAATTCATTCTCAAAGCAATAAACTTGGTGAGCATTTTATTTATTTCATAGCACATTATAAATCATTTACTTTGTCTGTAAGTCAAAATGCTGAATTTTTTTCTGCAACTAGGTTCCTTTTCCCATGGATTCACTTATTCTGGGCATCCTGTTGCATGCGCAGTGGCATTGGAAGCTATTAAAATCTACAAGTATGTAGGCTTGAATTGCCTTTCGACTTCCTTTTATGATCATGTGCTTTTCATTCTTTATCCTCATTGCAACTTCCATATGGTTACTTTAGTATTATGATTGCTGATAACTCTGCATTTTAGTTTATGGGCTTGATACCTATTGTACTTAGCTAGTGCTGAAGATACAAATTATTTCAGGGAGCGAAATATGGTTGAGAGAGTAAATAGAATATCCCCAAAGTTTCAAGAAGGTCTGAAGGCATTTTCTGACAGTCCCATTATCGGAGAGGTACAACTCTTATCACTTGTATAAAAGTGATTAAAACTTTATAAAAGGTTTTGCTATTCATTTTCTTCACTCTTATTTTCCTGTAGATTAGGGGACTTGGTTTGATCCTTGCCACAGAGTTTGCGAACAACAAATCTCCTAATGATCCTTTCCCTCCCGAATGGGGTGCGTAATTTTCCTCATTTGCTCTTCAATTGGAGGTCATATTAAACTCTTATTTCATTCAATCGTCTCATTGCCGCCTCAGGTGTTGGTGCATATTTTGGAGCGCAATGTCAGAAGAATGGCATGTTGGTACGAGTTGCTGGTGATACCATCATGATGTCTCCTCCATTTGTAGTTACTCCAGAAGAACTTGACGAGGTATGTTTATGGCTTGCATTTATAAATGCATATATGTGTGTGTGTTTTTGCCAGAAATTGCTTTGAGGCCTTACTTTTGTGAATTCATGTTCTGCAAGTCTGATAACCAATTTTTGTGAAAATATTTTCCTTTTGTTCAGTTGATTAGAATCTATGGGAAAGCATTGAGGGAAACTGAAAAGAGAGTAGAAGAACTCAAGTCTCAGAAGTAATATTAGTTGACAGCACAAGCTTGACGATGGCGAAAAATAAAATCAAATGTGTTTGGATATTCTGTAAATGTCCAGAATGAAGTAAAGAAAGTAATATAATTTTTAGTCCAAGTTGTTTTCTCTTTCATTTTACATGCAGTATAGTTGCACCAGTTGACTTGTTGATGAATATATGTATCCCCTTAACCAGTAATCACCAAATTGCATTTCACAAAAAAATCGAATTATCAATCTATATTCTTGTAATTAATTGGGTTTTTATATGTTTGAGTTGGTATGGTAGTGCACATTTCTCCTGAAGTCTTTTCTGTCAAAGAAAGAATATTTTCTTAGAAGTTACATGTTTTATCATGATCTACCATTTCATAAATTCGCTTCTATCTGTCCATGCTAATTTCAGAAGCATGAAATCGCGCTACAAACTTCTTGGTTAGTCGTAAGTAGGGCAAAGAGTTGGATTGGATTTGAATGGATTGAGTAATAATGGTTTGGATTACAATTCATCCAAATAGAATATGAGCGAATAAGGATTTGGTCAAATATTGTTTGGGCAAATTGGTTCTGACTTAGTTAAATAAATTTGTTTTTTGAATATGGGTAAATGGAGTGTTAAAGTATTTAGTTATCATTGGATTCATTGTCGCTATAAGCTTTAGGGACATTTTAAAAAAAGTATTAATTACTATTTAAAAATATATTTAGTGACAATTAAATTATTACCGCTAAAAATCATTATTGGATGTAGTGTATGCTGTAGAGTTATTGATAATTAGGATACAAGTGAAGTGGTACTATTAAAAGGTAACATGTATTTCTTGACGGTATGAATTCGGGTCCCAACAATTAGCAACTTACAATTTATTTCAATTAGCTTCGGCATCAATTACTTGGTGGCACTAATATAAAACTTTGAAGAACAACGTTTAAATATTATTTCATGGTTACATAAATCTTAAGATTACGCATACACGTGCAACACATATATGGTGAATCTAATAATTTCTTAAAAAATACCACTATAAAGAATAATATGTGGATCGAGATTGCTAATTTGGATATATAGTTTTTCCATCTTATAAATCTGCTCTTGTTAGTTCAAAAACAATATGAATCCTAAACTAATACAACATTGATATTCCCCTAATTCAGAATAGTCTTTGTATCATTCGCACTTTTGGTTTTCTAATCTTGCAAAGTACTAACTACTATACATAACTCTCTGGTAGAGAAACTCAAATTTGAGACTTAGAGTCTCTTTGGAAAAAAAAAAAACAGAAAACTTTTCAGTTTGAATATTCCTCTTAACCAAAAAGGATGTTTCTCCTGGACGTCGTATTCCAAGTATCATTTGGTATCTAGTTGAAGTTATGTATTGATTAGTTACGTAAGTGAATCTATGTATTAATTTGTGCAAATATTAGATAAGTTATTCCACCTGCATAAAATAATACCATAAATTTCTTCATAAATTATACATAAATTAATTATATAAATTTCTAAATTGCAAATCAAATATCTTAATTTTTTTAAATATAACTAATTTACCACCTAATTAACTACCAAACATAACATTTCTTGTACAAAATTTTATACCTACTAAACCAACAAACAAACAACCCTTAAAAGTGCACTAATAATATTTCCTTGTTAGATTTGTGATTTCAACTTCAAAACAACTTGGCCACGTTCCGTAACCGACCTAACATTCCAGACAAAGACACATACATATATTATTATTTTTCATTTTTTGTTCCATAAGCAGATTAGCATCTGATGATTAAATAGGTTCTTAACCAAGATTTATTTTCTGATAATTTTACTTTCAAAAGTGGACTAAGTTTCAAAAGATGATTAAACAGGTTCACTATAAAAAATGGATCATTTTGCGGAGGGTTTTTTATCGATTTGTTGAAGTTTTTAATCCTCACAAAATCAATTGAGGTGGTTTTAGAAATCCCACTATTGTCTATGTCATGAGCATATTTACGATGGTTTAATAGAACCTCCATTATGTCCGTCACAAAATACATTTGTAATTTGTGGTGGTTTTTAAAATTAATTTGTGATAATTCGTAATCCCTTAAATATTATTTTAGAAATTTAATAAGTACACTCTACTACATAGTCTTAATATCTTCTTTAATTCTTTTGAAAGGGTTTTTACCTTTTTTTTTTATTTACTCTCCCTAGGAGCTCCAACCCCTTTTTGCTACCTTTGTGACTCGAATTCGCAACTCAACTCCTACTTTCTTTACTCCCTTGGTGACTCGAACTCGCAATCTTTGGGTTGGAAGTGAGGGGTACTTACCATCCGACCAACTCCTTCTCGTTATTAAGAAACTTGAGTTATGTCATTTATAACATAGACTACATTTAAAATATTCAAGTTGCAAAACGACATAAATCTTAATTTATGACAAATTGACACAATTAATAACTATGTTTGTGTCACGACCCAAAAATGGACGTGATGACACTCGTCTTATCCCACCAAGACAAGTCAGCCTAAAACTCAACCATTACATTAAGTGCGGAAATAAAATATAAGTAACTTAATAAAAACCCCAAAACCTGGTAGTCACGTGTACAAGCCTCTAAAATATTACAATTGATTAAAATGAAAACTCAAGTCTCAAATGAACTTGTTTCTAGAATAGAACAAGATCATAATTAAGGAGAAGAAAGTCTGCTGAGATGAAAACAGCTACCTCACAAATCTCCAAGAAGCCTCGGAAAAGAAGAGAATGACAAGTACAACAAAAATCCAGGCTCATAACCTACAAAAATTTGTAGTAGCAAGGGGTGAGTACCAAACCACACGGTACTCATCAAGTAAACCTCTAAACACAAGCTAAGGGGATGAAATACGGGTACTCCTACCACCCCCAACCGAACCTCCACAACTACAACCTGCAGTAAATTCAACCCAACCTAACAGCTCACAGTTTACATAGCACGTAGCTCAACAACAACACTTAGACAAATTACATATCCTCAACAACAACACTTTAACAAATTACATATCCTCAACAACAATACTTCAACAAATTATATATCCGCAATAACAAGCTCAATATTGATCAATCACAAGTTCCGCAGAAAGGCAATCAGAAGACCAGCAAAACACGATATCAAGTTCACTAATGATAAGTATGTGCAATGCAATGGAATGCAATGTCAAGTATAATGATGCATGTCTGACCTAGTGATACATACCCGCTGTCTCTCAGTCCGGGACCCATGGGGGACATATCTGTCCATGCATCTGTCGCAGCGCACGACACGACCCTCGATAACAGTAACCATCGCGGCGCGCGATACGTCCCTCGAAATATAGTATCCATCGCGGCGCGCGATACGTCCCTCGAAATATAGTATCCATCGCTGCGAGCGATACGTCCCTCGAAATGGTACATCCTCTTTAAGTTATCATTCTTTCTCAATGCACATAACACTTTCACAACCATGTCTCAGAATAATGCAATGACATGTTCACACAAATAATGAGGAGATCACCATTTTCATAACATTGCACAGTTCACAACCACACAAGCATGAAATCACATCAACAATGATTCAACAAGCCATCAAACTTTTCTCAACACATCACACATAAATAATTAATCACATCGCCTTTTGTTATCCCTTTTATTTCATCATTAGAATTAATCAATGTGGACAAGTCAACCCATCACCAATCCCGTTACTCCCAAACATATATCACAAGGACATATACGCATTCCATACACTTAACAAGAGTTTAGAAATCCACTTGCCTTAGTCAATTGAATAATTACCCTTGGGCTTGAGCCTTCCCTTTCCGTTGAGCTTCTGAACCAATGGAATCTATTCAAGTATACATTCACAGTAAGGTTTCAAAAGTAACAACACTCACACTTTTATGTGTTTAACCTTGACCTAAAAATACACTCCAAATTTATAATCAAGTTTGTAATTCTTGATGTCAATTGTCAATTAACATGTCAACCCTTTAAATTTTCTACAAATCTCAAGTCCAGGACTAAGTTTCAATTTCTCTGAATATCATAAATCTAATGATATTCATACAATACTATTTGACTAGATATTTAACTAGATATATGAATACAACAAAACTTACTTAATACTATCTTAGCGATAAGGAAGATCCAACAATTTTTAAACCACGAAAAATAATATTAAACCCATTAAAATCGGCATAATATCACATAAAACTTAGTTGAAGTTATCCCTCGTAGTGATTGTTTAATCGTGGTCAATCAATTGATATTATTATCATATTATTTTTTATGCATCAGTTAGATGCTCTTAGGTTTTATTTAATTTTAATATTATTATTAATAATATTTTCAACTCAACCTTAAAATTTTCGTACACATATTGACCGCATAACTCAATCAATTAACAATGTTATTACTGCATATTTCATTCCTAATTCCTAATTATTAATACTAAAAAGGTCAATCATTGTTCAATCATCATGCCATTAATAGCCATTAACAATTTTCCACTAAAAAAAAAATGTTAGCATAGGTTATCAAATCCAGTTTCTTTTCTTTTTCTTTCAAAGCCATTTCCTTTTTAATAATAATAATACTAAACTATTCATTCATATATACAATACCAAATTGTGTTTGGATTACCTTGGAATATGGCTAGTAAGTTTGGAATTCGCCGATGATTGTCGCTGCTTCCGTTTTTCCCAAGTTTTGTTTTCTTCTTATATTTTTTTATAGTCTAAAATTATTAAACCCTACTAAATTACTTTTAAAACATGGGCCTAATAGGATAGAATATTAATAAATTATTAAAATTGTATTCACTATTTAAATAACCATAGTAAAATTAGTAATTCAAAATTCCCATTAAAATTTTACGGAAAGGGACCTTTATTAAAGAGACATAACTAGTTTTCAGAATAGCCTAGCAGGTCATTACAGTTTGATGACTTAAAGTTTAAAACTTTAACAAGTGATTTCCCATCAAACAAATGGGAAAAAAGGTAATATAGTAATTTGATTTATTATTTTTATTTCATATTTTCTTTCATCACAACAACATTATATATTGTTATACATAATAAAATTTAGTTGATATAGTATTAGATGAATTTCAAATTTTAATAAATTCATATTCATTAATTTTTAGATAAAGACAAATTTAATACATTCATATATAAAAATAATCTTAACTATATAGTAATTGGGTCTTAATAGAACATCCTAATATTTAAAACCTATATTTAAAG